TTTTTTTCTTTTATGGTAAAGGCTGCACAGCTGGGTCTTCATTCTTTGCTGTAAAATAAATTAGTTTTATCCTTTACTTGTCCGATGAGTCTTGATTCAAAGCCACTCCTCGGTCTCTCCTCTGTTTACGATTTTCGTCCCTACACCTTGGATTGTTACCACTGCAGGCAGTCTGTGAACGCTTGTTAAATTAGTTATCTTCTCTCTATCATATACCCTGCAGTAATTCATCATTTTACTCGGTTTAATATCAAAGAAAACACAGAAATAAAATACTAAATTGTACATGTAGACATGATCATGCGCAGCAGACGATTCCGGTCTCCCTCCAGTATGGCTGCCGTTTGTTTTGATGACGAGGGCTACAATGGGTTAATATTAACCCATTACAGTGACGTCATATTTACTCCGTAACACTAGTCCTGCGGCCATGCTGGAGGGAATGAACGACGGGAATAGTAGCGGTAATAGAGGTGAACCAAATAAAATAAAATAAACTTCGTATCGCGATCAAGTACACCAAAGGGAAAAGGATATATACAAGCTGAAGCTTCAGCTGATCAGCAGGATCGACCAATATGAACTCAAGACAGTCTAAAAACGTGAAATCCTACCAAATGCTACTTATCCAACATCGTGTTGTCACAAGATAGTTCAGTTATCTTGTACTTCATTTTTCTTGTTCATTGGGTAATGACAGTTATAGTTTGAGAGAGTTTATTGTTAATTGTGTTATCATAAGTTTAACCTTACATAGAAGCAACTTTTTTCATAAAGGATAGATATAAGGAGAAATTTTGAGCTGATCATCAGGATAAACCCTTGAGGACTCAAGGAAGAATGTATGCAGGATTGTCTTATGACATGAAATATTGCTGTCAGTTATGACTTATCTCTACATCGTGAAGCTGTCAGAAATTATTTCAGCATTCTTGTACTTCATTTTGGTTCATTAGAAAGTACGTGTAACAAGACTGTTGTTTGAGAGAGTTAAATATTCACCATGAATGCAACCATTCATATAAGCATTGTTAGGATTTTATTATTATTCAGTCATTC